GTAGTTAGCAGAAAGTCTCGTTTAGTATATGTTTTAGAAACTATTGATGGTAAATTTGCGGGTGAATGGCATGTTAAGGATTTAAAGCCATATTTTGGGTCCAATTCCAGTATTCCAGTTGGATAGGATATTTGTTGTTAAAATATCTATCTTATAGTACGGGATACGAGGCCTATTTTATCAAATCATTTTACACCGTCTTGCATTGTTATCATCAGTTAGATAACATGGTACTGAAATGCACTTGTGCATGGAAATAGATGGGAGTGGGGGATTTCGCTGAAAAATATCTTTCAGAAAATGTCGTCATAAACAAGGAAAATATATAATTATACACCGTCTTGCATTTATTTATTGAGTTGATTTGTACACAAACAAAATTGGATTAACACATGCAAGACGTTTTCATGGGTGTTTTGGGGCTGTAATATAAGATAGAAATGGTCAATTTTCGAGAGGGGTGAAAAATCATTTTACACCATTCCATTTTTGATTTAGATTAAAGCTTGAATGTAGAATAGCTACTGGATACTGATACAAGATGTCCTGTGGCGGCATAACGGGCTGCAAGACGGATGTCAATGCGTTGTCTCATGAGGGAGTGAAAAATTATTTTACACCACTTCGTGCTTATGTCCGTCGGAAGAATATATGTTAAGAAATGGTAATACATCAGTCCAAGACTTTTTTTCCGGGAAAAAAGTTAATAAATCCGTTTTTTTTTTTTAACTGAACTGTTGAGTTATTTACTGAACCGTTCACTGTTCATTCTTTTCTAAATCATACAGATGGAAAAGGACAGTTGACATAGCAGCTCAACAGTGGAGTCTGCGGAATACAGGAATTGTAATTTCTGTTTACAATTCCAGACAGATCATTTGTTGTGTTATTTTTTTGCTGCTTTAAAATCAAATTTCTCAAATTTAGCTAACAGTTACAATCCGTTATGTGTTATGGCATATCAACCCCAAAAAAACTTAAATGATTATAAGCCGTCACAAAAAGAACAATTTTCAACCTTTTCTTATTTGATGTACGTAGAGACATTCAAATATACATAATATTAAGAGAATTTTGCAAAATAGAATTATTCTACGTGGTAAAGAGCAAAACTATTTAAAATTAATGTGCGTAATTTGTAATTTGGAGTGGTATTCACCTTTGTACCTGATGGATTGACCCCCGTCAAAGTTAGTCAACTTCATCACCGTCTTGCAGTCCTTTCTCTCCATTCATAACGTCTTGTATTTTTAAAAATGTTATCAATGTGTTCTGTTTTTCCCATTAGTACCAGTGCAAGACGGTGTAAAATGATTTCTCACTCCTTCATAAGACAACACATTGACCTCCGTCTTGCAGCCCATTATCCCTCCACAGGACATCTTGCATCAGTATCCAGTGGCTATTCTACATTCAAGCGTTAATCTAAATCAACAATGAAGTGGTGTAAAATGATATTTCACCCCTCTAAAAAATTGACAATTTCTATCTTATATTACAGCCCCAAAACCCCCATGAAAACGTCTTGCATGTGTTAATCCAATTTTGTTTGTGTACAAATCAATTCAATAAATAAATGCAAGACGGTGTATAATTATATATTTTCCTTGTTTATGACGACATTTTCTGAAATTTTTTTTTCAGCGAAATCCCCCACTCCCATCTATTTCCATGCACAAGTGCATTTCAGTACCATGTTATCTAACTGATGATAACAATGCAAGACGGTGTAAAATGATTTGATGAAATAGGCCTCGTATCCCGTACTATTAAGTTTTATTGTCAGGTACCTGAATTAACTTGAATTGAGTTAAGAAAAATAATCATATATAGGTCTAGGCTAGCAGATTTGATTGTTTTTCCTTTTTTTACTTTATTGGAAAAATTAAGGTAAGAGCGCGCTCTATTCATTCTTCTGTTTAATTTTAGTTAGCATAGCTGTAGGTAGTGTATGATTAGGTTAGGAAACAATAAACAGACCGTTTAGAGACATTCCCGACTTTGTAACTCTAAACTAGTGACTTTTCGAATTTGTCGCTATACGCCGTGTGGTACGCGGAGATACCAATACTAAACGGTCAATCGATTGAAAAAAAAAAAAAATAAAAATGAGGATACTAAGAATTAATTCATTTAGAATTAAAAGGGTTCTAATAAAAAAATATATAAATATATATTTTTTTTCTTTGGAGGAGGATGATGGCAATGTGGTCAGAACTGTGCAAAAGATATGGTAAAACTTGAACCACGCAAAAATGAAAAAAAAAAGTTTAATAACACCCCAAAAATTAAAGATATGTGAATTTAAAAGTACCCACTCCTGCACAATACATGAGCCCTTAACCAAAAATAACAGTAAGTAGGTACTCTAACTGAAAGAATTGAAATAAAAATAATTATAATAATGGGTTCTTGACTAGTTATAATTCAACGATAAAACCACAACAATCGTTATCGTTACGTTTCTTAACTTAGAGTCAATCAAATTATAGTCAAAACTTCCAATAATTAATTCAGTAAATTACGTTCACCTTGCGTTTCTATTAACTTCAGTGGTAGTAGTGATGGTGATGTAAGTAGCGTGGCCCGTAGCTCAGGACCTCGGACGAAATGTGTCCCAACAAAATCCAGACAGTGATAACATCAACAGGACGTATGTACAATCTTGGACTACTGGAGCCTAATAAGATGAAGAGTTTCCCCTGCGCTTTGCAGCAGAGATTCTGCACTCAGCCAACAAGTAGAAGGCTTCACAAAGTAGATCAACGATGGAAAAATCCTAATTATGGAAATAAGCCTAAGTATGATTCCATATAACTAGTCCAAATTTCGCTTACCAGCGTGACCGAATATTCCTTTTCATGTCATAAAAATCCTAAATTAAAACAGCAAGGGCTCCTAAGCCACACCACGTGCATTCAGCACAAATCAGCAATTTAAATCGACGGTTTCACACACCTACCGACGGATTTCACTTCAGATGATCGGCCACATGCACGATACGGCCAAAAATTCAGAAACTTGGAAGGCTCAGCACTGGATTTCACTGAGATGTTCTTCAGATGGTGATTAGAACAAGAAGATGAGCTCTCTTGCGCAATTCATCTTTTTCCAGAAGAATTTATTACCCCTTATGGTCATAATTAACGAAGAATATCTTCCAATGAAAAGAAAATCTACTTTATCGAGAGAAATCAAAAACCACGGAACGGAAACAGTACCCCGGAAATTCCGCAAATTAACCGTATCGAAATCCGCAAATTCCGGCGCAACCTAGACCAGAATCCGTAGTTGCTAGAAAGTACACAGTCAAGGTTCTGACACCTAATTGATGAATAAAAATAATTTATACGCCGATGCTCCAAGTTCCAAAACACGGAGTAGGACGACCTCAGGCAATGAAAACGACCAAGTAAATTACTTGACAGGACAGTACGATTTATTATTGAAAGGAACATTATAACCCTACTAAAATAAAGATAAATAACAAAAATATTGAAAACCTATATTTGCCAAAGAAAAGTTGTATCTGTACAAAAAATTGTTACAGAACTTAACATTAAAACTCCTTTTCCTAACAACCGACCTGGAAAAAAATGGTAATATGCGTTCTTATAGCACGACACAAAAAACTTTCACAGAAGAAATCCGAATATGTTCATGGTGGCAGAGGTGCAGTTATAGAGAAGAAAAATCCGGGCCTGGTTCACTAAAGTCAATTAATATTCGGAATCAGTCCAAACACTTAATATTCTTGAAGATCCAGAGATGATATTCAATATGGACGAAAGTGGTGAGCAATAAAAAAACAACAGAAAATTCTCCCGAAATTCTATTCTGTCAAAATTTTTGTTTTTCGTTTTTCAGGGTTTCCTTAAGCACCAAAAAGTGGAGTTGTTCTCGGTCCTCGAGGCACGCATGTATACGATGAAGGGACATCGACTGATAAGGAAAATGTTACCACCCTTATTGCAGTCAATGCTGTAGGAAAATTCGCACTACCTCTGACCTTATTCAAATACGATATCTTCCAATCAGCTCCAAAGGGTTGGGGCCTAGGGAAAAGTGAAAGTGGCTGGATGACGGCTGAATGTTTCTTCGAATATTTTTCAAATGTTTTTTATGATTATCTTCAGGAACTAGATGTCAAATTTCCGGTCGTTGTATTTGTAGATGGCCATAGGTCTCATTTGACACTAAATCTGAGCAGATTTTGTAGAGAGAAACAAATTATTTTAGTGGCTATAACACTTAACGCAACCCACATCATGCAGCCGCTCGAAGTTGCAGTATTTAGGCCACTAAAAAAGAAATAGCAGCATATTTCCAGAAAATTTAAAATTTCAAATCGAGGTCAAGAAATCACCAAACAAAATGTACCGTCAGTTTTATCTGATATTATCAATGACTCTAAAAATGAGTGAGAACTGTAAATCAGGCTTTCACGCAACCGGTCTCTTTCCCTTCAATGAAAACTCTGTCGATTATTCAAAAATTTTCCTGAGAAAACCAGACTTGCTGCAGACTAAATCAATAGAGCTCAATGAGGAAATAAAGGGCCATCTCACCTATTTAGAACAAAACATCGATCCCGAATTATTGACTGAATTCAAAATGACAAAAAGAAGAAACCATGATTGGGAGGGTAAGCAAGAAGCTCTATGTTTATTTGAAGTATGGGAAAAAATTTCAAAAGATTCCGAAAATACCATTCAGGAAAATAAAGGAGGAGAACATTTCATTGAAGATGATGGAAAAAATCATAGATTCACTGTCAACACCTGAGCATTCCGAAAATGAAGGCGTTGAAATTGTTGCAAATGAACGAAATGCCAGTCAGAATGTCAGTCAGATATTGTATCGAAAAGGTGAAAATCAAGATATTGACATTGAGCAACCAAGCACCAGTGCCTGTGAAGAGGATAGAGAGAGAACCAAGGCACAAAAATCGCTCGAAAAAGAACAGAGGAAGAGGATAAGGCAATTAAAAAAAAACAGAAATGCAGGAAAAGATCAAAACCAAAAAACGCATGAAAAAAGTTAAGAGGGACAATGATGTGCCTCAAAAAGAAACAAGTTCTGAAGAAAAATGGGAAGAGTCGGGAAGCAGTGGTGACTATATTGATTATTTAGGAGCTGACATATCAGATATGGAAATACACAAAGCAGATGATTCAAAACCGGGTGATTTCATTTTGGTGAAATTTATGGGCACAGGCAAAAGAATGTCCGCAACTTTCAGATACGTTGCAACTATTTTAACAATTCTTTCAGATACAGAGTTGCAGATACAATGTCTAAAAAGTATTGACAAATAAAAAACCAAATTCGATTACATAGAGAATGACATTTCAACTGTCAATAAATTGGATATTCTGGGTTTGTTTTCTGCAATAAGATTTCATTTTAAATAGCTGATATTGCAGGGTTGCCAATAAAATTATTTTCATCTTCGAGTTATTTAAACATTCACAAGAAACATGACGAATTTTGTATTTTGGTGCGTGTAATACATACTCGATTTCGAAAAATAAACCAATATATTCATTTTTATTAGTGTTTTGGAATATACAATCGACCAAATTATAACCTCAAAAAATGTTCCTAATTCATTGTAGGTACTTTTTAGCTTGACATGACAACACGGCACGAAAAGCTTGATGCAAAATGGCAACCGCCGGCCAATAAGAATCTAGAGTTTAACGCAAGCGCAATTCATAACCTCGGTCTCCTTCGTTTGACAAAGATAGACTTATGCGAGATCATACTTTATCTCTCTTTGTTTGCTTCAAAAACCGCACATTGGGTAAATGGGTAAGCCGCGATATACGTTAGTATAATAGGTATATGGTATAAGGTGATTTATACAGTATGATTATTTAAGTGTGCAACATATGGGGATTTTTTTTTGGTAACAGCACAACCCAAATACAAACAGGGCCAAAAGTTGGAGCATGTCTGATAATCATATTAGGTGCACTTATGGCCGTTTGCACCGACCATGTTAAGCGAGGTTTAACGATAATCAAAGTTTAAAGTGACACTTTTACATGTAAAAATGTCATTTTAAACGTTGATTATCGTTAAACCTCCCTTGAAATCGTTGGTGCAAACGGCCATTAGAATAGTTGCAAGTCAAACAGCATACAGAGTAGCTCAAACAATATCAAAGCTGTATTGTAAATACCCTTATTTTAGAAAATTCAGCAAAATGTTATTGAGGAAAGTTGTTTGAAATTAAAAGCTACGCCAAACATGGCCTCCTAAGATTTTCTTCATTTTTTTTCGAAAAACAATAATTTCCATATTTTTTTTTATTTTTTATTTCCGCCCTTTATACTTTCAAAAATTAATTAAAATCAAATCAATTTTACATAACTTTGTTCAAATTCGAGCATATTTGTAAAATTAACTTAGATTTTTAATTTCTTATGGAATCACAAAGTTCATGTTTGTTGCATTTGTTGCAATGTGTAACGTTTAAAGTTACTTGTTTTTTTTTTTTCTTTCAAATTTAACTAAATATAATCCTTTTAAATGTTGACGAACATTTAAAATTACAGGATTCCCGCTATTTATTATATAGCAAATATTAAATTATTACACTAGAGGGCGCAATTCTCTTTTAAATTTGACACCCGGTTAGTACCAACAATTTCCGTTGGCTATCTCGAGAGGAAGCGCTGTATTTGTGCTTACCTGGCCCGTGGGAAATTGATTCTCGCCCCTTAGAATTTGTCTCGTTGAACAGTACGGTTGACTGAAAGTGCTGATCAAATAAAATATCTTACCGGCCTTTGGGCGTTCCCCTGTTTAACGAATTAAAGTTGCGTGTGGCAATAATCTGTCGATTTAAGAAAAATTCGCATCAAAAAGTCTCGTGATTACGATTTAATTCAAGTTTGAATTCCCACTCAAAAACGTGTTATAGTCTATCGTTTCTCAAATAAGACAAGGCAAACATTGGGGTCTCCTCAAATTATCGTATTGCCCGTTAAAATTATTATACTATTATTAGGAAAAATATATTGAGCGTGCCCGTATACATTGGATGCGAATCCACTTGCGAACAACGCATCTTATTGGTTGTTTTATACAGTCAACGTTGACTCCAGGAATATCTTATTGGTTAGAATTTTAAGCGGCGTATTTCTTTGAAAAGGCGGCTTCTTTGGCGGCATATTTCTTTGTAGCGGCCGCTGTTTGCGAATCAGTTTCGTCTGGAAAGACAGTGCAGTAGATAGTTTTTATAAATTTGATTCCTATTTGAGTTGTATCGTGCCTCACGTTTTATTTTATATAAAACTGTTTTAATAAATTTTCCTTACTCCGCCGGTGCTTCATAAAGAAAACGCCGACGGCCAAAGGAATATTATTTTTTTGACTGTCTCATTTGACTATCGATAGACTATAAGTTCTTTCAAGTTTTATAAGTAATGGCTTTTCAAGGAATGCATTATTACTTAGGGTCTCTCGAACGGCTGACTTTACCCCACAAGTCCATCCCAAGAAAGGCCCCATTTTCAAATCAACACCATTTCCGTGGAGCTTGATATTGAACCTTTGAAAGGCTTCCTATCCTACTAGAATCAAGACCCCACAGGTCAATACGTGTACTGCATCTTCGACGACGATTTTATTCCCTTTTCTGCCTGAATTCTGGGCTGGAATCCACTAGTTCCATGTGTGGCCCCTTTCGTCCAGATATCGAGAGACGAGAATGGATGGAGATTTCCGGATATGCCTTATATTGGGATGGAGGCTTGTATAAGTTTCAATAATCACTCTTAACTTAAAATTAATTAACTAACTTAAAATCATATTTACTATTTTTACAGTCTATTAACACAGCTATGATAATTTTTTATAAATGTACAAATGTATCCTCGACACTATGGCGAAGGAAAAAAAAATAGTTCTTTCTTGTTAATTTTATTATGTTGGCATAACTTCTAATCTTGCCTTAAATTTCATTAATTTTATAATTAAGTAATCTGAATAAGGGTCGAGGTTGGACAATATTATGTTCTGAATTTGAATTCTTAGATAATAGCTTGATGTCGAAAATTGATCAATTTTTAACCAGGGCTCTTATAATCTATATAGCGGAGGATTTCCTTCAAGTCGACCAATTGGCCTATAATCCAAACTTTGATTTTTTCACAGGTTCAGCTTGTTTTTTTTTAATCTATTTTTTTTTGCAGAGATTCACCATATTCATTGATCGAATTTTTTGAAACATTCAGTTTTTGTAATTAGCTTTCCGGAAACGTAAATCTTTATATTTTCCTTTCAAATTGATGGTATTGGTAACTAATGTTAATGAATTTATGAGGCAAGTATATTGAGGTACAATTTGCTGTTATGCTATTTTTTTATTATTATTATTATTATTTTTATTTCTTCTTTGAGCTTAAATAATTTGATTAAAGGTTAACTTCTTTATTTTGATTAAGTGAACGGTGTCTTACCAACAATAGTTGTTCTTACATTTTGGAATAAACCAATACTGAATTGTTTACTGACTGAAATATACACTATTTTAATTTGAAATTTTACTTAATTGTTTTATTGCGAGTTTTATTGGTTTACCCATAGGTCGAGAGTTGAGTTGCGTGCATTATTTTTTTTTTCAGGATTAGTAATTGACTTTTTCAATTAAAAGAGATGGATGATATAGTATGAAAACATTCATATTCCCGCCAACATTTGCTTGCTTGTCAATATCAATGTGTATTATCCCACAAAACATCCCCCCTTAGAAAGGTAAGTGCCGTGTTGAGAACCTGTCTATAAGTTTCCAGCGCCTCTAGTGACTGGGGGGGTCAGCTTTTGTAATTCTGGATTTATTGGCGAATGCAAAACGAAATTAGGGTTCGTTCGGTATCTTATTCGTTCCGGTGGATCGTTTGCACCATTGTTTGATTCTAGCGATTCAACACCACCACTTTAAAGTTTCTACCATTTTTTGGCATAAAATAATCGTGCCAAAAAGAAGAAACTCATAAAAACGGTAGTGTTGAAGCGCCAAGGTAAAATTGACTAAGAATTAAGATGACAAATTTAGATATTTATTAAAGTTTGAAACAGAAAATATAATAGAATATGGAATTAATTACAATTATTGCGAAACAGTTTTTTTTCATGTAAGTATACATACATAGGTAGGTAATGCTAGTTAAGTTAAAGATAATAAGTACAGTTACAAGAAGTAATGACGTACTTTTAACAATAGCTTGATGAAAAACTTAAATCGTAAATAAAATGACAAAAGAGGTCCTTTTCTCACAATCCAAAATCGTTGTTAACCTAACAAGTGAGGAAAGTGTTTCTGCACGTGATGGAAATCGCACGAATGACAACAAAAAGCAGAGTTCGGACAAGCCTTTAAGTCCAGAAAATACACTTTCCGCATGTGTTAGGTAGAAAGTTTATGTAGTTATACATATTATAAAGCTCATTCAAGAAACTGATTTCGCCTGGATGATAGAATAAATATTTTTGATAATAGTCTATACCCTTTACCACTAGCTTTAAGCAAAGAGAACGCCAACAACTTCTCGTCCAATGTAAATCGTCTAGCTTTAGGCTTTTGGTTTTGAGTACGGACTTGGCTTAAAATAAAGCTGTATATCAATGGATTGACGTGGTCTACGAGCCTTTGAAATTTGGTTTATGATGCAAGTTATTCAGCCGCAGAAACTTTGGATTTAAATGACGACACCCTTCTACTGATTCTTCTTAACTTATTGCTGGATTCTATAACTTTGGAATAAAGATATTTTTCCCTTGGGGATAGGAATTTTTGCTTAGTGACGTTAATGTTCTTTAAAATTTGGCATCGTCTCTGCAAAAAAAAAAATAGATCAAGATTGGAGACGAGCTTTTCGCACATTTAGCTTCTAATTTTTCTAGCATTCGACTGCAAGTTTTAGTAATTAGTAGTCTTTTATAGTAGTAGTCCTACTTGAGTTAGGATGTTTTAAAATTCACCTACTCCCAACTGGGTGGTTATTCATTAAGCAATAACACTTAGGTACCTACCAATAAAAGTTTTAAGAGACTTTTTCATGTTTGCAGATGTGATGGTTCTACTTGGTGTAGCAATGTCTGCCCGAATTGCAGAAGTTTCAGTAGATAAAAATTGACGACATGAAGGACCTGGTTGATCTAAAACAGAAATTTCGTTACCAATGATTCTATCAAAAAAGTTTGGATACACGCATTGTAGAATATGGTGTGCCTGTATGTAACCAGGAATATTTTAATTATTGTGTCGCCTGATAAAGGAATAAACATTAAAAAAAAAGAAATGAAT